CCCCCCCCCCCCCAGATCTCGGCGGCCGATCGCTCCGTAGGATTGCTGTTCTCGTCCTTCCTTCCGAGTTGCTTCCGCTTCTGGTTCGGGCCTGACCCGGGCGTGGATCGACTGACGGCTCTAGAAGGAGAGGCGGCGCCGGGGAAGCAACGGGCGGCCCCCGCAGCGCCAACCGGCCGCCAAGGGCTAGGCTGCAAGTCGCCGCCGCCGCCGCCTCCGCCAGGATGATCTCCCCGCGGGAACGAGGCGGCGAGGTGGCCCGATTCTACACGGTCACCGAGCCCAAGCGCCATCCTCGAGGGTATACCCTCTATAAGGTCACCGCGAGGGTAAGTGATCGCGTTGTGTGGACTGGAAAGGAGCGAGGAGGGCTCTCGTCCCCTGGGCGATCATGAGCCAAAATCAGGGCCCTGGATCCCCCCTCCCCCTCCCCCTCCTGGGGGACAGGATCCCATTCTGGCTGGGTTTCTGCGATTAATCCCCTGGATAGTCCCTTCAGAGGAAGGCGACGATGATGATGATGATGATCCTCCCCTTCCTGGCGTTGATCTGTGCTCCTCGGAAGTTGCCTCGATTAGTAGTGGGTGCATCGGGGTTACCTGCGATCCTTCAAAGGAGGGTGGACAGTGGACCGTGTGGCCCTCCAGGTGCTGCGGGACTGCAATTCCCATGAGCCCCGGCACAGCACAGCCAGTAGCGAGGGTTGCTGGGAGTTGTAGTTGACAGCTTTCAGAGGACAATCCTTACCTTTTCTCGTTTTTCAAAGGCAAAAGTGGCAGAGATTGGACCTGGGCCTGTTTTCACATGAGGACATGTGCTTTTTTGCCACAGAGCTAAAGGTTTATGCTGATCTTAAGATCCATGGTCAGATCCCATCATTCTCATCAGAGGTTTGGTTTTTAATTTCACCTTACCCCAATGATTTGAACATCTTGTCCTCCTGGATCATTTGAACATTTTGTTCTCTGAGATATGGCTATATTATGTAACCATAATATTTAATCATGTCTTTGAGGCATCTGTTTGTTGCTGTGTGTTTAAGGCAAAGGGCTATGGAAACACTGAAACATAACAATATCAAGACTGTTTCTTTGTTGCAAAAAATCGATATGTGTACATGTGGTCAAGTTGTTTCCGACTTATGGTGATCCTATGAATGAGTGATCTTCAAAATGTCTGTCCTCAGCTACCCTGCTCAGGTCTTGTACACTAAAGCCTAGGGAGTCAGTCAATTTCGTGTATTTGGTCTTCTTTTCCCGCTGCCTTTCCCCTTTCCCAGCATTATCCTCTTTCGCAGAGAATCCTGCTTTCTCATAATATGCTCGGACAGCCTCAGTTTCAACAGTTTTACCTCCAGAGATTTGATCTAGGACTCATTGTAGCGGTTGAGGGTATCTACAAAGCTCTCCTTCAGCACCATATTGCAAATGAATCAATTATTTTCCTGCCAGCTTTCTGAACTGTCCAGCTTTCACACCATACTTGGTGGTCAGAAATACTTGAGTGTGGATGATCCTGGTCTTGGTCTCCAATGACACATCCTTACACCTGATGATCTTTTCTAATTCCTTCAGTTCTGCCCTTCCTCATCTTAGTCTTCTTCAGATTTCTTGGCCGCAGTTTTAATTTCGATTGATGATTGAACCCAGGCATACAAATTCTCTATTTTAGTGCTTCATTGTCAACACTAAGGTTGTGTAGTTCTTCTGCAGTCATGATTTTTATCTTAATGTTCAGCTGCAGTCCTGCTTTGACACGTTCTTTAACTTTCCCTGAAAGCTCTTTCAGGTCATTGCCATTTCCTGCTACTAAAATGGTATCATCTCTTGATGTTTCTTCCACCAATATTCAGTTCTCCTTCATCTGAATCTAGTTTGGCTTTCCATATTATAGGTTCTGCATATAGACTGAACAGGTAAGGGGCTAAAATGCATCCTTGTCTAACACCTTTGCCTATAAGAAACCACCCTGCCTCTCCATAGTCTGTCCTAAGAGTAACTTCTTGTCGGCAATACATTAGGACCACCAAGTGTTGAGGCACACCCATTTATTTCAAAACAACCCATAGTTTCTAATGATTTACACAGTCAAAGGTTTTTCTGTAGCCTGTACTATTTTCTGTAGGGTGTAGCACCTATATCAAATTTAGAATTTGCCAGATATATTGGATTGACAATAACCTCATCCATTTAAATCTCAGTTTAAAGCTTACATTAAAATATAGCAATTAGTCTTTAAAGGTGCCACAGCATTTCTCCCCATCTATTTTCCTAAGTTTCCTAAGGGTGTTGGACTTGAAGTTGAATATATTTGGAGGGTGTCAGATTCAGGAATGTTGCTATATAAGAAGGAGAGAGCATTAATTGAATTCTGACACCATTAGGGTGTGAGTAAGTGCAGCATCTCCTCTATCTCAAATCTGATCCTATAGAGCAACATTTCCCAGTCTGGGGATCATGACCTCCAAGGGGGTAGTGAAGTGTTTTCTGGGGGTTTGTGGGTCATGTTCTATGTGTTGTAGCTCTTGGTTAATATCAGAGTGAATATCAGAGTGGGGTATTAAAGTCAGCGTTTATGTGTCTGTATGAGAAGTGAACTCTGGTGGGGAGGGAGAAAGAAGCCTCTGCTTTCACATAAAGGATGACTTTACTCTATTAAAAAAGCTTTTTTATGCAAATATGGCGGGGTGTGCATCCCAGGTTAATAAAGGGGGTCACGGCTTGAAAAAGATTGGGAACCACTGTTATAGCGAGAGGGGAAGTATTTCTCCTTATCTCAGATTTCCCCTTTGTGTGTGTTTAGACAGCAGTGTGGGCTCATAGGACTATCTTCAGAGGAGAGAGAAAGGAATACTGATAGAAATGGCACTGCAATCCATTATATATTTATTTTATTTTATTTTATTTTATTTGTTCGATTTATATCCCACCCATCTGGTATATTCTACCACTCTGGTATACTTATCTGGGGTAAATAAAATTGAATGTAATGAGGAGTATTCGTTAGTAGGGTTGGGGATTTATAACATACAGTTGTTCCGCTTGCAGAAATGTATTAGCAATCTAAGTATGCATTACAGGAGGTTAGAAGAAAAGGGAGAGTCCTTATCATTATAGGCAGAGAGATGGTGAGCTTGCAAGAACTAGTGCTCAGTTTATAGCTGGCAAAGAGAAATAAGAGGTTATATTTTTCTGGAGTTACAGCTCAGAAGAGGAAAAGGAAGTTGGAGGTGCAAAGCATGGATTATCCTTGGCCATTTTGTAAGAATACTTTGTTCTTTCAAAGTTGCTATTAAATGCGGCAGAGGGGTGTGCTTTTTTGGTACAAAGTCAAAATGTAACTGTTTCCAGAAAGGGTAGCCATAGTGATTTGTTGCAGCAGGAACAACACCATTTTCTAACACTTTAAAGAATAACAGATTTGGTTGTTGTAGGTTTTTTGGGCTATTTGGCCGTGTTCTTAAGGTTTTTCTTCCTAACGTTTCACCAGTCTCTGTGGCCGGCATCTCCTTCCATCAGATTCACCAGAGACTGGTGAAATGTTAGGAAGAAAAACCTCCAGAACACGGCCAAACATCCCGAAAAACCTACAACAACCATCGGATCCCGGCCATGAAAAGCCTTTGAGAATACAATAACAGATTTGTTATGGCATGAGCTTTCATGGACTACAGGCTACTTCATCAGACATTAAATGTGTTATCCTGAATGATAGGTATATATGCCATCTTTGAAGGGGTAGGAATGTAAGTAGAGAAGTTATAGGGAAACAGATGTCTATATTTATTGCATTTTAAGGGTCCAAGCTATCTCAAGCACTATTTCTCCCTTTATGGGCCTGCTCAGAGGTTAAGATAATGAGGAGAGGCCTTTCTCTTGTTCCCGCTACCTTCACAGATGCATTTGGTGGGGACACGGGAGAGGGCCTTCACCCAATTCTGGAACTCTTTCCAACAGGAGGCTAGGCGGACCCATCTTTGCTCTCCTTCGCAAGCAAAGACCTTTCTCTTAACTTTTCCTGAGGAATTGGCTATCTGAGATGGGCTTTTGTTTTGAATCCATTTTTATATTGATTTTGTTTACCATATTAACTTTGCTTGATCTTTTGAATATTTTCATACTTGATGTTTTTAGCTTTTAAATGTTGCCTTTGAAAGATGGAAGCTGCCCCAAGTCCTTTATAAAGAGAAAGGTGGGGTAAAATATTTTAAATGTATAAATGACACATTTATAGAAACATGCTTCATACAACTGATGGAATAGACCACAGTGTACAAAAGCTTATGCCAATATAAATCTGGTAGTTTTTGAGGTGCTATGAGACTTCTTGCAGTCTTTACCAGAGATGGGCACAAATCTCAGTTGAGAGGTTTGTTCAGTTTCTTAAGCATGGCACCATAAATATCATGTGTTCCCTTTCCTTATCTCCCTGCCTGGATCCCCCAGTCACCCGCTGGCGTGCGCTCCTCTCTTCCTTCTCTTTGGCTGTTGAGCCAGTCCCTGGCAGGAGGATGGGCTTCCCTGCCCTGCTTCCTTGGCTGATCAAACACTCAGACCAGGAGGAGGGACAGGCAAAGCCTTCCTCCTGCCGGGGTATTTCCATGCTTACAAACCGACATGAACCTCCGAACTGAGATTCCAGTCCATTTTTAGTCTTTACTTCAAAAGAAGACTTAGAACATCATTAAAAAATCATCAATATATTCCATGTTCTGATTCTCCTTGCGTTTTTAAAGTTGTGCAGTAGAGAATTCATTTGTAATTCTTTTCATAAAACACCAAAGGAAACCCAAACTATGAGATCACTATGCTGCCATGAAAAAAATGAATAATAATGAAAAGGAACTAGTATATCCAGAAAAGCTTTTAGTCCCAGGATGTCAAAGTTGTAGTATTTATTCCAAATTAAAAGCCCAACATGTTATTGCTTAGCCTTTTCGGACTTCTTCAAGGGCACTGGCTTCTGGTGAATCTGACAGAAGGAGATATTTCTTTTGTAGCTCTTCTTCTGGAGGAGATACCCTGGACTGCCAGAAAGATGAACAAGAAGGTCCTAGATCAAATGAAACCTGAAGGCTTTCCTATTTTGGGCAAATCATGAGAAGATAACATTTTCTGGAAAAGACAATAATACAGTACTGTACTGGGAAAGGTAGAAGGCAGCGGCAGCAGAAGAAGAGCAATTATGAGATAGATTGCCACAAGAGTTGAGGAGGGCTGTTGAAGACAGTCCATTTTGGAGATCACTCATTAATAGGGTCATTGCAAGTTGAGGTCAGCCTGAGGTACACCACCACAGTCCAGAATCCCCCCTCCCCCTTCCCGCTTACTATTTCAGCAGTTGTGCGAATGTGTTGGCTTGAAATAATCAAAGTTGTGCTGTTTCAGTGTGGAGACAAATGAACTACAGTACCTTTCTCCCAAATGATAATAAAGGAGGCTTACCTAGAAGGGTGGTAGATAAGAAGACCATAGCTATGAATTCCTATGACAGTCCAGTGAATTAATCATAAGCCTGAAGTGGTGACCGGGGAAGGAGTAAAGAGAATTAGATATGGAAAGTGAAAACAGACTTGAGGAAAAAGCTCTATATATACATTATTCAATTCTTCTAAAAAACCTCCAGTTTATGAATGTGGGATATTGTGCTTCTGTACCCATAATTCAAAAAGTCACGAAATGGCCCAATATTGCTGCAGAATAGTGTGCCTGCATTGCTAGCAGGAAAAAGGACACTGCGCTTTACATAGTGAGAAGTGGTTAGCTGATGAAAAAAGAAGTCCGTTTCTGGGATTTTCCCTTGTGTGGTGTCACTTTCTGAAGGGTAGCGGTGGTGGGCAACTCCTGTTCAACATCTTGACCATTAGCCTGTGGAGTGTCTCAGGGTTCCATGATTCTCCATACTATTTCACATATACATAAAAAACCTGAAAGAGGCTGCCCAGAATTTTGTGGTCTGGTACCACTGGGGTGCTGATGACACCCAAGTTCATTTGCTTTTAAAGATCTTCCAGGAAAAGAAATCTGCTTTGAACCTGAATGCAGAGTGAATAGGAAGCAGTCATAGCTACAGGACAAATACCTTGCAGAATGTGGGAACAACACTGGGGAAAAAGCCCTTTCCTCATGTCTGTACTTGTCTGGCTTGTGTAAGCAGAGATATTTTCAAAATGGTCGTAAGTAGAACTTTAAAGCTGAAACAATCATCTTGTTAATACAGATAACAATTGGCTGTTAATATGGATCTTTTATTATTGGAACGATATGATCATGGTATCATGTCATGCTTCACTACCTAGATGCTGCATTTTGTACCCACTGAAACTTCCAGATACTCTTGAGGAACAGCCTTATGTAGAATAGATTACAGGTGTCTAAACATGTTGTAATTAAGACAAGGGTAACTTGGTTGGATTATTTATTATTATTTTTTAAAATTTCCAAAACAAATACAAGAATAAAAAATACATAATAATACAATCTAAACACAGTGCTCCCCCATACCCATGGGACCCTTTGGAGCAATACTTTTATTATGAACCTCCTTTCCAAAATTGTATTGATTATTACTTAGAGGCTTTCCCCTTTCCTTTCACCAATACAAATTCAAGAAATCTACCCAAAATAGCATAAAAATATTTAAACCTATTTCACCTCTTTTCATCTTAAGTTCAGTAGTCAATTTATCATTTAATGCAATGTTCCATACTTCGTTATACCAATCTTCTAATTTAATATCATTTTTATCTTCCCAGAGTCTACTAACAATATTCTAGCACTTGTCATAAATTAGACATCAATTCTTTTGAGCAATAATCAAGTTCTATCATTAAAAATTGACAGCAAAGCAATTTTAGAATTACGTTCGATATCTTTTCCAAATATATCATATATTTCCTTAAAAATCAATTTCCAAAATTTCTGAATCAATTTATACTCCCACCACATATGATAATATAGTGGTGCCTTGCATTACAATGTTAATTCGTTCCAGTGAAATCACTGTAGAATGAAAACGTCCTAAACACGAAAACGTCCTAAAGCCATTGAAACGCATTAAAACCTGGTTAATGCATTCCAATCAGCTAAGAACTTACCGTCCAGCGAAGATCCTCCATAGGGGCAGCCATTTTCGGGTGCCTGTGCAGCAAAAAATGGCTCCTAAACATAGCGGGGAGCCCTTTTGAGCACCCGGTGGCCATTTTGAAACCCCGACGATCAGCTGTTTTGATAGTCGGGAAGTGAAAATCGGTTCCCGAAACAGGGAACTGATCATCGTGCAGTGAAAGTCCCCCATTCAAAACGTTGTTTTGCGATCGCTTTTGTGATTGCAAAAACCTCATCATAATGCGGATTTGTCATTAAACGGAGCACCCGTCTTGTGAGGCACCACTGTACGTGCCAATTTCTTCATCACATTTCCAACAGGTCTTACAATAGTCTGAATTTATTATGTTCAATTTCAGTGGAGTCACGTACCACCTTAAACTAATTTTTTTTAAAAATTCCTTTATTCTTATAGACATTTCCAAATTTTTGTACAATCCTCTGTTTTAATTTCTGTCTTTAAATCATGTTCTCAAATTGATTTCAAACCTTTTATTTTAGCCTCTTTTTCCTCTTGCTCCAAAATTAGGTTATAAATTCTACTTACTACTCCCTTCCTCAAAGCATCTTTCTGTATGTCTTCATGTGATGATAGAAATTGTTCATATTTAGTACATTCTCTACATTTGCCATTAGTCTTCATCCATTAATTTGTCCAACTATCTAACTGGTTATAATTATACCGTGATAGTTTATTAGTTTGAAGTTTAACTATAATCTGATCCTTCGATCTCATTTTAATCATCCAATCCTTCAGTCTGGCAGCTCTTTTATCCTTAATCAAATCAGCTAAACCCTTCAAGTTTGCTCAGAAATTTTCTATTTTGGTGACTAATTTTAGTGGTGAAGTAAAGGGACATAATTTCTTTTTATATCTGCTCCAGACATTTAACATGTTTCTTTAAAAAAGGGTTGCTCACCTGATTTATTGTATTACTTTTTACTACATTAAAGAAATATTTTTCAATATTCCCATTTATTTCTGGTTGGATTATTTAGAATCAGGAGAGGACCAGATGTAATTTGCACACTGAAGTGATACAAACGTGGCTAGTGGGAAGTGTCCGCCATCTGTTTCTCAGGCTACGGAAGGTTCTAACAGGCTCCTGCATATGTTACAGAATGTTTTCTCACACCTTTTGAATGCATGTTATTCACATAACATGCTACAAGATTCATTGCTGCCTTTCAGCATGTGAGAACTATCCTGATGAATATGGCAGTGGGGATGATGCCATGGTTGCAAATCTGGATGGAGCAAAGACATTTCTTGGGTTCACATTTTAATGGGAGCTTATTCCAGCATAGACTTTGAAATGATTCACAGTTGGAGCCTCCTTAATGTTGGGATGAAACCCCCCCTTGAAAATACAGTGGTGCCTTGCAAGACGAAAGTAATTCGTTCAGCGAGTAGTGCTGTCTTGTGAAATTTACGTCTTGCGAAAAGTGGTTTCCCATAGGAATGCATTGCAATGCATTCCTATGGGAACCTCGCAAGACGAATGAATTTTTTTCATCTTGCGAGGCATCGGTCTTGCGGGGAAAAACTCATCTTGTGAAGCATGGCCATAGAAGAAGCTGTCTTACGAGGCACCACAGCGATCGCAAAAACCATTCGTCTTATGGGTTTTTCATCCCGTGAGGCATTCGTCTTGCGAGGCACCACTGTATAGGGTATCTGCAAGCAGGGCTAGGAACATGCTGACTGAACCTGTGGAGAATCACTGCTATTTAGAGTTGGCAGAACTGGGCTCATGGGACCAATGGTGTGGCTCAGTGTAAGGCAACTTCCTATGCTCCTAGGGTGGTTAACAATTTAATTATGCAAGCCACACATTGCCCCACATCAACAAGCTGGGTACTCAATTTAGTGACCTCAGAAGGATGGCAGTCTGAGTGAACCTTGAGCTGGCTACCTGAGATTGAACCCAAGTCATGAGCAGAGTGTTAGCTGCGGTACTGCAGTTTAAACGCTGTGCCACAATGATCCTCAAAAGCCTGAACTAGCAGAGGGCTTTCAAAAGTTGACTGAGGCTGCATGGAAATGAGTATGAAAGCCACATGTGGCCTTAAGAATATAGATTGTCCATTAATTGTTGGCTCCTTCCCTCTAAAAAAGGGAATGAATTCAGCTACTGACAAAGTATCTGTTTGTTTTGTTTTTCAGATTGTTTCCCGAAAAAATCCAGAGGATGTCCAAGAGGTAATGCATTTGTGTTTATGAAGATGCTTTTGTTCATGTCCTTGTGTGATTTGCTCTTTTGCTAGGTGTTTAAATATTTGGATTGTAATTCTCTGCATAAATATGGCACAACCCTATGCATGTGTCTTGTTTGGCTTTTTGTATTATGAAACAGGCCAGGCAGGCATCTCTAATGATAAATGGTGATAACTGACAGTTGTCATTTGGATCGGATGTATATGCTGCTTTAGTGCTGTTGTCTTGCAGAACTTCTGCTGCTGTTCATTGTGTTTTAGCAAACAGATTGGCAGAGCAGAAAGTTGTAAAAACGTATTAGCCCTGCATAGTACTTACTTAATATCATTTAAATTAAATTGATGGATGTCTTGATCCTGCCTTGTCTCTTATGACTCAGGAGGTCTTTTGTTAGCAAACCATATCAAGGGATTCTGGTCAGAGACAGAGAGAAAGAAAGAGAGAGGCTACTTCCGACTCCATGATTTTATGATTGTTATATATCTGCTATAGCTAGTGGACTCTGCTTATTATTTGCAGTACACTTTTTTCTGCAGTAGCAAAGGAGAAGTATGAATAGCATTGTCATTAATGATGCAACTAGATTAAAGCTGAAAGGACATCTAGTGGTTGATGTGCATAGAAGTGAAAGGGAACACATACAGTTGAAACATGAAACATGAGAAGTATAGATGAAGGTAAAGTGAAAGCAATAAAGCAAGAAATGGAATGTATAAACATTGCTTGATGTTAGTGAACTAAAGTGGACTGGATTGGGATATTTTCAGTCAGACAACTAGAAAATCTCTTACTCTGGAAATGATGAAATCAGAAGAAATGGAGCGGCTCTAATACAAAGGGAAGATGCAGCACAGTTCTGACTAAATAATATAAATCATACTCTCTGGAAAACCTGTCAACATTACTATCATTCAAGTTTATACTCCAACTACAGATGTTGAAGAAGATGAATGTGAAATTTTAGGTAAGCATCTAGGAGGAAATTGATCACACACCAAAACAAGACATACTTATAATCATAAGTGACTGGAATGTACAAGTAGGACGCAAAGCAGAACCAAATGTCGGAAAATTTGGTCTGAAGGACAAAAACAACACAGGAGAATGAAGGATAGGGTTCTGCGAAGCCAACAATCTGTTTTTTGCAAATACTGTACATGCTTCAGGCAACTAAAAAGAGAACTTTACATGTGATTATCACAAGATGGTTAATATGGCAACCAAACAGACTATGTAATTGGAAGCAGGAGATAAAGAAGCTGTACATTCTCTGCCAGAACAAGACCAGGAGCAGGTAATGGTAGTGATCATGCACTGTTAAAAGTCCAACAGTAGAGTAAAGGCGAAAAAGAACACTAAAAGAATTGTAGTGCTAAAAATAATGTAAACAATATTCCTGATGAATTTAAAGTCCACATAAAGAACAAATTTGCATTACTAAATTGCAAATTACTCAAATATCATTAAGGAAGAATGCAAAAAGACAATTCCTGTTGTAAAAAGAAGAGAGAAATCTAGATGGATGATAGAAGACATATTTAAAATGGTCGAGGACAGGTGAAAAAGTGACAGAAGTTCAATGCAGCTTTGCAATGAATTGCCACATAGAGACAAAGAGAATTATTGCAATAGTTAGTGCAAAGCAACAGAGAACAACAAAAGAGGAAAAACAGGATACCTCTTCTAGTAGATCCAAGAAATCAAAGGGAAATTTCTTAATTAGAAATTCCTAGATTAGGAATGCTGAAAGACTAATAGGAAAGCACACTATTTGACCAGAAGAAAATAAAGATAAGATGGGAATAATATACTGAAGACCTATTCAGAAGAGATAAAAGTCTAAAAAGACTCCTTTAAAGAATCATAGGTTCTTCCTATGATGAAGTACACAGAGTTCTAGAAAATCAAGTGAAAGCTGCTGGGAAGAAATAAATTGCTAGGGGTAGATGGGATACTGATAAAATTATTTCAAGCCACAAATATGGAAAACAGAACAGTGGTCCACAGACTGGAAATGTTCAGCATACATTCCAGTTCCCAAGAAATGAGATGCCAAGGAGTGCTGTAAATATAGGACCATTGGTCTAATTTCTCATGCAAGCAAAGTGATGCTCAAGGTGTTGCAACAGAGGTAAAAGCCTCTGTTCAAACAGGGTTCCAAAAAGGATGAGCAATTGATTGTCATGCTGCACAACCTGTACTGCAGATAAGAAGCTACATTAGGAAAAAATATGGAGAGACAGAATGGTTTCCTATGGCTTGTATCTAACAAGGACTGGGAAGAATGTGTTTGCCCACAGCATAAAGAACTTCATCAGGAGGGCTTTAAACTGAATTTGAAGGGGGAGGAAGATGCAAGCATAGAATTAAGGGTAGATGAAGCCTTATACACAATAAGAGGAATGGACCAAACTGATCAAAAGGGCAACAATAATAACATTAACAATAATAATCACAATAATAATCATAACAATAATCATCATCATAATAATATTCATAAAATGTACAAAGAGAAACAGGCCACATATTCATACAACATCCAGTGTCTGTATACAAATGCCAGGAGTATGGGAAACAAGAAGAACTGGAAATTTTAATTCAGGAGGGTAAATATGACTTCGTAGGAATAACTGGATGACTCCCATGACTGGAATACAACAATTGAGGGATATAAACCGATCAAAAAGAATAGAGAGAATAAAAAGGGAGGTGGAGTTGCAGTATATGTCAAAAATACACATTACTGCACAGAAATACAGGAGGAAGAGATTGGCTGTCCCATCGAGAGGATATGGATCAATCTAGTTGAATTCTGCTACTGACTGCCCAATAAGAGAGAGGAAGCGGATGAAACTTTTGAAAAACAAATTGCAGTGGTGCCTCACTTAACGACGATAATCCGTTCCAGGAAAATCGCCGTTAAGCGAAAACATCGTAAAGCGAAATTAAAAACCCCATTGAAACGCATTGAAACCCGTTCAATGCGTTCCAATGGGGTAAAAACTCACAGTGCAGTGAAGATCCTCCATACGGCGGCCATTTTCGCTGCCTGTATAGTGAGGAATCCGTCCCTAAGCACAGCGGGGAGCTATTTTAAGCACCCGGCGGCCAATTTGAAAACCTGACAATCAGCTGTTTTTGATCGTCATAAAGTGAAAATTGAAGCAGGGTTAGCGCTTAGCGAAATTCCCACATTTAGACCATTATTTTGCGATTGCAATTGCGACCGCAAAAAGATAGTCATAAAGCGGATTTGTTGTGATGCGGGGCAATCGTTAAGCGATGCACCACTGTGCAGGGGGTTCAAAAAGATATGACATAGTAGTGATGGGAGATTTCATTTATCCAGATATATGTTGGGAGGCAAATTCTGCCAAGTATGGCCCTTCCAAGAAATTCCTGGCTTGTGTGGCTAATAATTTTCTTCTACAAAAGTGGAGAAAGAAACTAGAGGATTTAGTATCCTTGACTTGATTCTGACCAACAGAGATGACTTGGTGGGGGAGTATGGGGAACTCTAGGCGAGAGTGACCATGTCCTTCTAGAATTCTTGATTTCCGATAAGGATGTTCAGGGATCTGGAAACCAAGCCTTATGAGGAAAGGCTGAAAGAACTGGGCATGTTTAGCTTTGAGAAAAGAAGACTGAGGGGTGATATGATAGCGCTTTCCAAATATTTGAAAGGCTGTCATACAGAGGAGGGGCAAGATCTGTTCTCAATCATCCAAGAATGCAGGACACACAACAATGGGCTCAAGTTAAAAGAAGCCAGATTTTGGTAGAATATCAGGAAAAATATCCTAATGACCGTGGAACCAGTTGCCTTGGGAGTTGGTGAGTGCTCCAACACTGGAGGCATTCAAGAAAAACTTAGAAAATCACCTGCCAGATATGCTTTGATTGTATTCCTGCACTGAGCAGGGGATTGGACTTGATGGCCTTGTAGGCCCCTTCCAACTTCACTTTTCTGTGAGTCTATGATTTATTTATTTGTTTGCTTATTTGATTTTTATATCGCCCATCTGGCTGCCAAGGTCACTTTGGGTGGGGTACAAATAGGATAAAACAATAACATAACAACAAGGATAATCGACAACAACCAAATGCAATATAAAAAGTGCAAACAAATTATATTAAAAACCACATGATAGAACATAATAAAATAGAATGAAAAACATGGCGATAGGTTGGATGTTAATTGTTAAAGACACTTTTGTATCAGGATATATTCAATTCTAGGAAGGCCTATCTAAAAAGCTATGTTTTTAATAGTTTTTTAAAGGTTCACAGTGAAGGCGCCAAGCAAATTTCGTGCGGGAGAGTGTTCCACAGTTGCGGGGCGACTGCCGAGAAGGCCCGATTTCCGTCATAATTTTTCGGGTCTTTCTCGGGGTCAAGACTCTCAACCACCCGGCCTGTGAAGATTTTACAGGGTGGGCACATCTGATCAGAAGGAGACATTCAGTTCTATAGGCAAAGGTGTCAGACAAAGGGTGCATTTTATTCTCTTACCTGTTCATTCTGTACATAAAACATATCACACAGAAAGCTGGACTAGATTCAGAAAAAAGAGGAGTGAAAATTGGTAGAAGAAACATCAATAATCTAAGATACTGTATGCAGATGATGCCCTCTTACTGGCAAAAAGCAGCAATGGTTCGAAACAAGATTTAGTGAAAGAGAAAGAAGAAATGCTAAACAGAACTACAGTTGAACATTAAGAAGATGAAAATCATGACTACAGAATAATTACTCAACTTTAATATTGATAATGAGTAAATTGAAATTGTTAAAGATTTTGTGTATCTCAGTAGAATCATCAATCTAGGTGGAGATTATAGCCAGGAAATCAGAAACAGATTGAGACTTGGAAGAGCAGCAATGAAGGAATTAGAAAAGATCATCAAGTGTAAGGATGTGTCACTGGAAAGCAAGACCGTCCACATTCTTGTACTGTATATCCAGTCATCATGTATGGGTGTCAA